CGCCATCGTTGAATCTATCCGTAAATGGAAGCATTATCTCTTCGGGAAGCACTTCAAGCTTATCACTGACCAGCGGTCAGTTTCCTCTATGTATGGTGTGTCGCAGAAAAGTAAGATCAAAAACGACGATAAAATCCAGCAACCGAAAATGGAACTCTCCGCTTTTAGCTACGATGTCAGTCACAGACCTGGAAAAGACAATCTGGTGGCCGACACCTTATCATGTAACCTATGCGCCAATGTGCCATTCCGGAATTACTCGTACGCATCAGTTCGTCCCTTCCAAAGCATGCCGTTTTCCCTCCAATACGTCAAAGAAATCAGCACAAAATGTGCGGTTTGTGCCCCATCAAAGCACCTCTTGCCACGCTCATCAAAGCGACCCAACCATTCGAACGAATTGGCGTCAACTTTAAAGGACCTATGGCTTCTGTCACTCGAAACTGATATCTCCTCACTATCTTTGAAGAGATTTCCCGCTTTCTATTTACCTTCCCCTGCGCAGATACATGTGCGTCTGTCATTATTACATGTTTATGTGAATTATTCTAGTTGTTTGGTATGCCTGCATATTTGCATTCGGATCGTGGCTCCTCATTCATTTCTGACGAACTGTCCACATTCCTACATAAGAGTTTGCACCAGCCAAACAAATTCTTAAAATCCCCAGGTGGACGGGCAAGTCAACCGCCTCAACGGGACACTCTGGAACGCAATCCAGCTCAGACTCAAGAGGAAAGGCCTCCAAATCTATCAATGGGAGTCGGCTCTATCAGATGCCCTCCACTACATATGGTCCCTTCTCTGCGTCTCCACGAATGCCACTCCACATGAATGGATGGTTCGGTTTGAACGTCGGTCATCCCGTGGTTTGTCCAAACCAAATTTGCTTGCCCAGACATCATGTTCCCTTAAAACTGATGGAATATGTGCCTCTGAAACATGCGTACAAGACACACAAGTGATCACCCATCCTAAAACGCCAAGGACGAACGCCGCTCTTTCATATTTCACTATTGATTGCCCTTATCAGAAGTAAAATACCCAATATACCTACTGAAAAGTGAGAGGGTACCATGACCGGACAGTCTATATACATCCCTCTTCAAAGAAGGTGCAAGATTCCTCACGACCCACCTGGCAAATCTTACGGGTGGTATGTGAAGAGAAAAAGCCTACACAGCGAAAGTCATTTCCGTCTTCAAGAACGGCACGGAAGCACTGTGAAAACAAACGTGGCGTTCGCCTTGTAGCTGTGGCACCGGAGATGCTTTTTGATTTAGTTCTTCGAGGGTTGATTGGACATAAAGAGGTAGATCCGTAAAACAGCGACCTGGGTTCCGCCCTGCAAGAGGATGAAAGTATAATGGCACTGCTTCCGTCAACCAAAGATGGTGGTACTTCATAGCTTGGAAGCCGCATTTAACCCTGTGGAACACCACACATCACGGTAATGTCTACGGAGCAAAGGTGTCCCCATGAATTCTTGGCCTTCCAACTACGCGGGCACGTGAAGGTCTACAACAAATCCGCGAAAAAATCTTCCACTTCGCATTGACACCGTGATAGCAGACATCCCGTGGAGTTGGAATGACGGTAGAGCATGTCGATAAAACATGCGGAATACATCGGACGCACGAATAGGCAACTCGGTCAGAATGAAGGAACACAATCCACCTTGGCTAGCTTCTGGGACTAGAAGGACGATAACCAGCTCTGTATTTAGCTGACACTGCACACAACGTGATTCCCAGCCAAAGTTTCCGCGTTGTTTAAAAGGCGCCGGCTAACCAACCCAGATCAGTACAGCAGCGCACAACTGCAGTGGCTGAAGCTATCGTCATACGACATCGCGACCCGATCCTTTGTCAGCAAAAACGCTTTGTTCGTGTGTTGTACTTACCATGGTCCAACTCACCTCTCCTCACACATACACCGTGTGCTGAAAACACAACTACAACACCCCCCGAGCTGACTAGCTCAAGTCATCCTATTGGTGACCTGAACTAATGGTTCTTTGAAAGGTAGCCAATGTCATCTCACTCGATTTCCTGTCCATTTACTCCATACTCATTCAAATATATTAAATACCGCTCTCTTAACCTTTGCAATTGTATGACTTGAAAAGGCCTTGCCGAAAACATGTTCGTCAACCCATCTGTGTTCTTATTATAAATGGGAATTTTCGGAAGACTTAATTCACCTAAGATGGATGAACTGACGATACTCCATAGGTTGTGCTGCGTCGAGTCAGCAGATTCGTCTGAAGTTGCTTCTACCCGTAGCTCAAAGTCGTCGGCATGCGGTGAACGTCCAAGAAGCGCGGTATTTCGTCCAAACAATTAGGCTTGATGCACTCCATCATCGTCACCACCAGCACATCACCAGCACATCAACGTTAAACACATGCCTCACACACATCCTAAACCTAGATAAGAGGACGGCTAGGGCCACGAAACAGAACATTCGACTTAGAAGCGCGACTTCAAGGCAGGAAATCGTTCAGTTGTTACACCCTTTTGATGCCCAGCTGCCATGTCACCTGAAGGAACAACGAGGGCTGGGATACTGTCAGGTTGCCCAAGCCTAGACACGGGTCAAGATGCGGGGATCTGGCTCGAACCACACACCTTCCGGTCAGTAAATATGCGCTCTAACCACTGGGCCATCTCTCCCCCTTGGCAAAAAGTGCCAGTGCATGACAACCTTCCAAGGAACGAGTTGCCACACATGCTCCTTATCCAACCTGGAGAGCGGGGAGATTGTGTTGGTCAAACCCCTAGCTATTGACCAATTCGGTAAGGAAGACCTTGTTTCTGTAGCGGACATTTCATTGCT